CTGGGAATCATGACAACTACTATGGCAGACGACTTCCGACTAGGTGCGTTCTACATGGTCTCCCTGAAAATAAGACCAAGTTACGACAACGAGGTCAGCCCACTTCTATCAATCGAAAGGAGACTGCGACCACGCCAGAGGCCACAACATCTTGGTCTTCATATATTGGAGAGATATGGCTTGCCATGAAGGTCCCATCTGTCCTCAGACCAATTGACACCTGGAGCCTGGTGGAACAATGGCAATGTGTTACCGCGGGACACAAGCTTCAGTTGGGCATCCTCTATGCTGCAGGAACACTTATGTGCCATACGTTCCCGGCGTTAAGAAAAAGTGATGACCTCTCACTTTAGTCAAAGTCTTAAGGCCTCAGTGATTAGGGCTCAGAGACCCACACTTCAACTTTGAATAGAAAAAAGTTATGTAATGTGTCTAGACCTCTGAACTGTATTAATCTGGTACATCAGACGGCCTTATCCTTACATAATCGCTTATATCGACGGAATCAACAAGCAAATACGACGACAAAGGTGATGATGGTTGCAGTCTCCTTTCACCTTGGAGGAGGGATTTGACCTCATTTAGCAATTTGGTCGTGTTTCCTCGATGAACGTTTGTCCCAAGTTCTCTGTCATAGTAGCCATTAGAACCTCCAACAGAGGACTGCGGAATGTTAGAATGTACCAAGTTTACGGTCCCATGCTGAGAATTATCATGACTACTATGGCAAAGAAGTTAGGACAAGACGTGTTCATCGAGATCGCCCTGAGGACAGGACAAGGCTACGAAGCTGAGATCAAACCACTTCTTTTAAGTGTATTCTGTCCAAAAATAGTGTTTTTCAACCTTAAATGAGCTACACTTTTCAGTCGTTATTCTACAAACACCAACCTTGCGGTGACATGGAGGGATGTAGAATGTGATGTCGAGGCCTACCAATTTCGAGTGATTGCTTGTTCGAACTCTGTTGATGACAAAGTAAACTCGTCTATTAAGACATGTACCCTGAATTGTGGTTGCGGACACATTTTAGTGGCGAAAGTCAAATAACTATTGGCAGGGTATTCACAAAACAGCTGTTGATGGTATTGCTTAAAGCTTCTCTCTTTTTGATAGGAATCGACAAGTGGAAAAATGTTACTGATTCGTTGAGTCCCATGGAATGCTAAAGAGTTGGGTGGTTTGAAAGAAATCACAATTTACAAATTTATTCGCTATATTATTGAGAAAGTCTCATCTTTATCTTATCCAAAGAATCGGGCTAATCTGTGCATTGTATTCTCCAGCTCGATTCTGCTCGTACGGAGAAATCAGAGTCCTGGAGGCGCCGGAAGAGGGGCTCAGATTTAGGCCATGCCCCCAGGCTCGACTGGCCTCGACTGGGAGTGCCTCTGTCTGGACCAAGCAAGGCTAGGCGAGCCACACCACCCGAGTGGGTCCTGGGAATGACCCAAAAAGTTTGTTATTAAAAGAATGGCATACAACTCGGCACATGCACGCGGCCCTCCTCAGTCACTCACCAATGGCCGCGAGCCGAGACAGACGAAGAATAGAGACCTAGTAAATGGTAGACGTGAGCTGGGGTCGAGAGTGGGCCATTTACAAACATGCTGGCTCTAAGTAGACTAAAAAGCGGCCACATAAACACACATCGTATCCCATTGAAATCCGGCTCAACCCCACCATTCGCCCAGTCTCCTGCCCACGGTCCACTGAGTCCGGCCGAGCGACAAGATGGGATACAGAATTGTGGATTCTCCTCCGTCAGTTTAGCACTGAGGGGATGGTGAAGTCGAGCCTGTGTGTACCAGTGATTTGACCCCTGTTGGAATCTGGACTCTACACCGCAATCATGGGGGCGCCCGTGAGTTAGCCGTCCCAGTTACCAACTGAGGCGTCAGACTTCTTGACAAGTTGTGCTCCCCAGCCCAGACGCGTGCATAGCTTACATATACACACACGCATACATACATATATATATATATATATACATGCTCATACAGGTATTCATATATAAATATATGTGTATGTATGTGTGAGCCTGTGCAAGGGGGCGATTTGGGCACATGTTTGGGAGTATTTAGCAGGCAACGGGCCATGCATAATGATCAAGTGACTCCCGCTAATAGTGTGCCTACAGAGGCATTTGCATCTCGACCCTTCTTGCTGCCACGTGCTCTTCAGGCCTATACAGCCGTCATTTGGGGCTGCTGATTCCCACGGATCCATGGTGTTTGGCCCATCTACGGGCCAGAAACGGTGGAGCGGGTTATGGCGTGGGTTTAAGGGATGTTAACGAAATCAGGTTTTTCAAGGCTGAATAGGACACAGCAACATGATCTTTGAAAAGTGGAGATGTTTCGGAGGGTGGGTTCAGGCGCGGGCGCAATAAGGTTTCGAGAGAGAAGGGTGACTCCGAAGGAAGTTTCTGCTCGTATGTCTTTATATCTGAAATGCGAATAAACATGTGTGGAAAAGTGTGTCTCGCAGACATCGACAGCCAATTATGTGGTGAAGTTTGCCAGTTTAGATTGATTTATGGGGTAGATTCTGTTCATAATGAGTGAAAGTACGAGCCATACTGCCCCGCCTCCTCGTCTCATCCAAAGTCCCAACTGGACTCGATCAGTAGATATGCTGGTTCAGGAGCAACTGCCGGCTTAGTCCAACAAAGTTTCAAAGCAATCATTTGTATTTGTTTCGATTAATCTACTGAGATAACATTGTTGGGTGGACTTTCATTTCGCACCAGAAGAGAATGGCTGAATCCTGTTATACTGCTGCCGCTTGGCTTTTATACGACGTTCAGGTTAACTCAGTCCACGAGACCTCCTTCGTTTCGGGATTCATCCGTTCTCTTTTAGTAAGATCGACCTACGAATCCATTCTTCATGCACTTTCATACGAATTGAAAGTCTCCCCGACAATCATTTGCGTAGCAATCAGAGATATGTGGCTTGCTTAGACTCGAATTTCATGTTTGTCGGGTAACGTTATGAGGTTAAGCTGTCTCCCTTACTCCATGCATTCTTGGTTCAAATCCGGCTGGGACTGCGGATGAAACAATGCAGTAAGGACAAAACTGAAACTCAGATTGGATGGGAAATGCCTTTTGGGATAAATTCAACGTAAATTTAAGCCTTCTTTTCAATCCATCTACAAGATTTGGAGGAAAGGAATAACACCACCCGGGGCTCATACCTCTTCACTCAAAATGGACAGTTGACTGAGCGAGAGCTTAGCAATAACTAAGACTTGAAGCCCTCCTAAAGTCTGACATTTCATGAATGTCTCGCCTGAGCAAACTTGAGCTTGATGACACTGCCTTCCCTGTTTGTTACGCAATAGACATTTCGAGGATAAGAACTACATTGGATTGCTTGACTATTGGCCACAAAAGTAGCCCATGTTGCCAAATTTACAGCAGACCAGACCTAGAATCAAGGCATATCGTTACTCGCTAATTTTAAGTGTCTAAGACATATTTTTCTAAAGTCAGGCCCTAGATTTTTGGCCGCTTGACTTGACAGGAGCAGTCTGAGAGAGGAGAAGAGAAGTTGAATAGAATAATTGACTTAGCTATATGCCTATCCGACTATCTATCCATCTATCAATTAATCTATATATCTATAGCTATATATATAGCTATATATTCATTATTTTTTTATTTAGAAGAGATTTAGAACCGCTATAGGAAGAAAGTTGGGTTTGGATGGACTGAATTATGCAGGAGGTGCTGATGAAAATAACCTTGGCAGGCAAGCTTGTGAAATCCAATGCTATTCTGAAGCCTACTCATTTGATTGTCGGAAATTGTTAATATCAGCTCTTTAGTATCACCCTAAACGTCCTAGGATGTCACAACTTCTTATCTAAGAGTGTAGTCCAGTGCTAATTATAGATTTGAGCGTAGAAGTACTTAGTCTATTGTCATCCTAAAATTATTTTTTGACAAGTAACACCAAGTCCCGAATGAAGAATGGATGCCGGCAATTCATAGGCTGATGTTACGATATAACTAAGTCATCTCAGGATTAATCCGGCAGCTTAATGCCTTCAGGTGAGTGAATAGGATGTAATAAACAACGGCTTACTTAATTAAAGAATTTGAATTATAGTTCTGCATAGTTAAATTTTGTAAATAAAAGAGTTTTGCTTGAGATATTAGGGATTTTAGAGTACTGATAATACTACAGTCTAATCAGTATCCATTATATGCACAAAGAGAACGCGAGTTTGTTCAATCTCCTGAGATAGGATTATTGTGAAGACTTTCTTTTCGTATGAAAGTGCATGATGAAGACATTCTTAGGTCTATCTCACCAGAAGACTACGGCTAATTTCAGATATTCCTCAGTTGTTTGGCTTTTATACGACGTTCAAATTGATGCAATTCACGAGACATCATCCATCGTTTCGAGAAAAGACGGGCTGAGCTTTTGCTCGTCATATGAAGAAACGACGAAAGATGTCTCGTGGATTACATCAATCTGAACATCATATTATTGCCAAACAGCTGCAGTGTAACCGGAATCGGCTGTAGTATTCACAACAATCATCATCTTCATACTCTTGGTTTATCCTGCCCCCTTCCTCTATTTCTTGCACTCATCACTTTCTAACAGATACAATGAAATGTGCAAGACCTTGGCCCAGACCCGAATTTTTCTTAGATGAGATCAAAAATTGGTCCAGCATGGCAGGATTTCTGTCACTTGACAGACGAAAGCTTAGCACGGAGTCAGGGACGATGAGCCAAGGACATGTCTTCATGTCATGGCAAACCTCCATCGGTTTCAGGTGAGGCCAATTTACGAATCGCTTCGAACCAACTTCTCCTGCGAAATGCAAATTCATCATTCAGCCAAGTGAAGATATTAGCCCACCAGGTTTACTCACCAGTTGAAAGCGGTCGCCAAGTGTCAGGCTCCCGTTACTATCTGAAG